TCACTAATTCTCTTGTTTTAACGTACAGTGCTGTGTACCTACTGCCATCCTGTCATCAGGAAATTACATGATGACGCCGCTACTATACAACACAGACTCTCGGAAATGGCATATTATTTGCAGTCAATTTGTTTTCAAAAAATCGTTTTAGACCAATTTAGTGAAATTGAATAATTTCCACGGGACACTAGTTGAAAAACACTGTTCTACTGCAACGTGTAGATATGTATAAATATATATTGAAAACATCATAGTAATTTTTTTATCCAGTCTTTGAATGTAGGTTATCTCCGATAATTTAGTCACTTTCTGTTTTCTTTCTCGTATCTATATTTGTATTTGCAATAAACTAAATATTCTACTATCGTATCTAATGCAGTTTATTAAATTGACCACTGCAGGAATTATGAACAGTCTTAAAATAAGCCGAAATAAATTTGACAACAATGTCAATGTCACAGTCAAACTAAGAAGAAAACGAACTCTGCCCAGATTTGAAAATATTTTACTTGGAATATAGAACCATAAATCCTTTTAATTTAAAAAAATACCGAAGCCAATTTATTTTTAAAGTGTCGTTCGTTCAATCAAATTGAAAAGCTTGCAGTCGTCCATCTTCAAACTGATTACATTACATTTCTTATTAAGGGAGATTTATGTTTCCATAGAAAAATAATAATCCTGTTGTTGGAATTAATTGCAGAAATGTGTATTCCTAATGTATGTGCAGTGTAGGTAAATCTGGAAATACTTTCCATTTTGGTGAAAAATATTCTACGCAGAATAGATAAATCTCTGCTATTACAGGCCCAACCTTTCCTAGGGGGCAGTAGAGAGCAACGTGTGGACGCTGCAGCGAGCAGAACCGATACGAGTTTGTTTCCAGAGTCCAGTGATCAAATATCATCCTCCTTTACATACATGACTGTAAATAATAATAATTTTCATTGATTCTTTCAATGAAAACAATGTACCTAGGCTCAAAAAAGGTTGAAAAATACTGCAGTAGAAAGCAACGTTTAGATGCTGGGAGGAAGAAGAAAAAGTATAAAAAGTGTCCGGTTGTTTAGGGAGCAGCGGATCAGAACCAGAGTCAAGGGAGCAAATAAAACACAAATGGTTAGTGACCAAATGAGCGCAGAGGGTCTACATTCAAAGACTCTGTTCAGGCGGTCAATGACGCCAATCGGTGACGTTGATTCTGGGTTGGAGTTTTCCATTCAAGGAAAACGTGACCAGTGAACAGCTGAGCCAATCAGGAGCAGGCGACCGCCCACTGCTCATTAACTATAGCATTTGAATACTTAGTTGGTTCCTTTTTAGTCTTGAAGTTGAATTATTTTCAAAGCGACTCATCTCAGTTAAAATAAGTCCTTCACAGCGTCTTCATTACATAAATATGTATTTTATATGTGACCGTATGTGTGGAGAACCTTAAATTCTCCTTTTACCAAAATGGAAAGTATTCCACATTTTATTCATTTATTTTTATTGAACAATTTTGTTATGATATTATTGTCTTAAAATGATGTGTGTGTCTTTAGCCTGTAAGATTTTATTACTTAAGTGCATGACACGTGATCTTGTAAAATTGTTCAGTGTTTAATAATTAATAATAAAATGTGGAATACTTTCCATTTTGGTAAAAGGAGAATTTAAGGTTCTCCACACATACGGTCACATATAAAATACATATTTATGTAATGAAGACGCTGTGAAGGACTTATTTTAACTGAGATGAGTCGCTTTGAAAATAATTCAACTTCAAGACTAAAAAGGAACCAACTAAGTATTCAAACGCTATAGTTAATGAGCAGTAGGCGGTCAGCTGCTTCTGATTGGCTCAGCTGGTCGCTGGTGACGTCATCCTTAAATGGGATACTCATTCAAGGATCTTTCAATGTTAATGACGTCAGTGGGTGACGTCATTTACGTCACCCATTGACGTCATCGACCGCCTGAACAGAGTCTTTGAATGTAGGCCCTCTGCGCTCAATAACTTTTCCTCTCCATTGATTGGACCAGAAGCTCTCATCAGCCTCATCAGTGAGTTTCTTGTAAAAACTATGCAGTTCGCTTTAGCATTTTTACAAAAACATAAATATTGCCTTTCTTTTAATACCATCTCTCCAACCCCTAACATTTAAAGGGAAGATTCAGAAAAAATGAGGAGAAGGAAACTGAACCTCTGGCGTTCAGGAAAAGGTCAGAATGAAGCACCGACTCTCTTAAACTGAATCCAGAACAACTGACCTCCAACCAAATAACGAGATTATTAACATTGCCATTTGAGACAGCCTTATTTATTAATTCGGCCGATGTTTCTATATGTTAGAAAACAAAAGACGACTCGCGACGTCCACTGCGTTGTCAGTAGACGAGGCCCAGTGCTTTGCGATCTCATTGAGATGTCTGTGATTTTCTTTGCGGGCATCTTCGTTATTCTTTTCCTTGAAGCCCTGAATTTTTCAATTCCAGCGCCGTGTCGGTGATTTAGAAATATAAAAACAAAATAGATTTCTAAGTCTTATAGTATTTTTATAGTATTTAAATGTAAATTAGCTACCTACATTGCTAGTTCATATAATATATAGTTACAATACATAAAATACATACTTTTACTGCCAAAGTTTTAATTTATAGGTTTTATTTTGTATTATTTATACTTTTTGTTAAGACTCTTATTTTGAAGGTTTATGGTAGGAAGTAGATGTAGAAGCGTCTGGTTACCAGGTTACCAGAGACGCTTGCGATATAACAGCATCGCGTTGGCAAGCAAATGAAGAAGCATGATTTAAGTGTAAGAATTTACTGAATGACCTCATTTCTACCTCAAAAGGAAGGGTTAGCCAGCGAGGTATGTTTATATGTTTTATGTTATTTTTATATCGATATTGTATTCTTGGCACCATCTCACTAAGTTTACGTTGTGTTTTAGTTCGACGGTGGTGTTGGTGTCAGGGAAACTGAAGCTGTAATAAGAACGACTTTAAAGAGTTTCATTAAAGCTGACTTCACACCAGCAGTGCGACGAACTCTTAATTGCCAAAAAGAAGAAGAGGTGGAAGTGATACATACTTATATATAAGTATTAATGACTTATTTTAACTGAGATGAGTCACTTTGAAAATATTTCAACTTCAAGACTAAAAAGGAACCAACTAAGTATTCAAATGCGGGCGGCGACAGAGAGTTTGCTTTCCGGGTGAGCGACGCTGACACGCGAGTGGACGACATCAAGAGGAGAGGTCTGATGGTGGACGCTGGTGCGACGTCGCATATAATCACCGACATCGGGAAGTTTCGGAAGCTTGATGAAAGTTTCCAGGCCGAGACGCACTGCGTGGAATTGGCTGATGGATCCAGGTGTTTTGGTCAAGAAACGAGGAGACGCGTTAGGTCGACGTCTTAAAACAGTGCTGAGGAACAAATTGTACATCCCTTCATATCCGCAAGACATCTTCTCAGTGAAAGCTGCAACATCCAGCGGAGCAACGGTGATCTTCAAAGAAGAAAAGAACGTTCTTCTCAGAGACGATACCAAGTTCCCCATTCACGTTGGTAGTAACACATTGTATTACTTCCAAACGACGGACAATGGATGTGGAGCTCAGTGTAAAAAATGTTATGACTTACAAGGTTGGCGTGAGATTCTTGGACATTGCAATTACAGAGATGTACTGAAGCTAGAAATGTTGTGCATGGCATGGAAATTAAAGGAAGAGGTGAACCAATGCCATATCGTGAAGTCTGCACGAAAGGAAAATTTGTTCACAGTAAAAAATGCTGGGTTTTTCATAATCCAACTTCTGGGTAAGAGATGCTGGGTCATATGTTGGGTTACTTTGACCCAATATTGGTTCAAAAGTAGTGACCCAGCGGTTGGGTTGACTTTTTTTTTGTTTTAATGAACTCCACTTAACTGATTCTGTTAGGTTTCAGGTTCGGTTGACTCAACACTTTACCCAATTGGTTGGGTCAAATACAGTTCATATAAAAATCCATTGCCCTCTTCACAAACCTCCATTTTCAACTGGACTGTGACCTGATCAGACAACACTGGACTTCTCAATTCAAATAAAACATGGTAAGTTACAATATCATGGTATAATATTTTTAAAGTTAATAGGGTTATTGTATTCTTTATATACTACAGATCTTTTAAATTAAATTTATGTAACTTTAATTGAATTATTTGATTTAACCTATCATCTTCGTTGATAGGGTAATGTTTTTGAAATAATTAATTTAATTCAAAGATAATTTATCCAATTTGTTTTTAAAAAAAGGGTGAGGGTGTGGGAGGGAGAGATGGCGCTTTGCCCCCTGGTTTTCGCTGGCCTCGTTCACTAGCGCGCGCAAAAGGTGGTAGCAGCTAGAATGCTAATAACGGATCTATAGCGACAAGGAGGGACTGGAGGCTTGCAGTAGCGGTGTCCGAAGCGATCAGTACCGAGTATACAGGTATTCATAGTAATATATCAGTAATATAACTGTTAAATGCCATTTTCATTAAGCCTTTTATTTCTTACTGAACACACTATGCTATGCTATTATACGGTTAACCTGGGTGAAACCGATTGAGGCAGTGGAGAAGAAAAAAACAGTATGCACCAGCAATGGCAGAGGAGGGGAAGCTAAAGTTGGATATTATGCTTTCTGTCAAATAAAAGTAACTTTTACAGATTTCTAGTGAAGATTTAACTATGTAACAATAAAATATCTGCTCGATTTATTGAAATATCTCTTAATTTATAAGTGCTCCAACATGTTTGGAGTCGTCCCACCGGTGTTCTGTCAGATCAGCACACTCTGCGATGGCATATGCTTAACACAAACTATTTATCTGTAGAACATCCGTGAGATCCTCAGTGCCTCCTCTGAAGGTAGACCTGTGGTTATCAGTCTAGATGGAAATCAGCATATGTCCATTCGTGAAAGACGAAGTGTTCTGACCACACAAGTGGTCAGAACACTTGTGTCACACCTGATGGATCAATATGGAGAAAAGTGAGTATTTCTTCTAAAACTAGATCAATGAGGTTGTTTTTGTGACATTTTGCTCTTGGTGAGAACATTAACGGCATTGTGCAGTGCTCACCTAAGTAAAATTTCTCCAGTAAGAAGTCTTAAAGTATGTGTTGGGCTAATAAAAACGGGATTTTTTGGAAATTGTTTGTGTTTTAAGGTTTCTGCTCTATGTTTTCATCTTACAATAACTAATTAAAATAAAATATTTTACTTGCCTGTCTTACTGAATGTAATTTTTTTTGTTTCCAGCCCATCTTCAGACACTAAAGCAATTCTGGCATCTTCGATTGTGGACCAGTTTCCATGTTTAAGAGACAGCCATGGCACAGGATATGTAAGTTTTCACACTTCAGAGCACTAGCACACAAGTACTTCAACAACTTGCACAATGGTTAGCATTAAATATCATTGTAACTATGGTGTTTGATCTTTGAGTTGTAGGTTTAATAAAAATTTGGACATTAAAACAGAAAGGCTAACATTTAACTTTTATATTTCTTTTGTTAAAAATGTGCAGGACGCCTGGTTTACCCCCGGAAGACAACACAGGCCAGCAACTGGCTTCTGGAGGAGCGTCTCCGTAATGTAAGGAAAAGGCATCAACCAAGGAAGAAGATGCTTTCAGCCCCAGAAGCTCCACCAAAAAGATTAAGTTTGCCTGGTACTAGCACATGGACTTTTTCCAAGCCCCTATTGTTTTGAGCAGCAATCTTATCTTATCATTGCTGTGAATTACCTCACATTTTTTTTCTTTTAATTTCTGTAATACTTTTTTCCCCACAGAACCAACCATCAGTGCTGAGCGTGCCATCCAGATGACAGAATGGCTGAAAAATAACTTTTGGCCCACAGACCAGGTTGTCCAATACATGCGGGAAACTGCAGTATATCGCGCAGGATGGATCCGCTCAAGTGGGACAATCCCAATGCAGCAGATTTTTGCAGAGTTCCCACGTTTGTTGGACACACCAGGAATGGTGAGGTTATACCTCATATTGAGATCAGTTAAATGTTAAACAATAAACTGCAATATCATGTGTAAATGTACAATTACAATCAAACTCAAAATGTCAAACTACCCAGAACATAAATTTGTAGCACCCATGAAAGGTTGAATGTAATAGTTCATTTCACTTTTACATTTGATTTGTATTTTTGTCTTTTCTGATTGTTAGATTTTGCAGGACTTTGCCGTTTTATATCCACAGTCTTGTGGAAAACTGACAGAGAACTGGAACACCTTGTTCTCATCAAAGGTCATTCGCATGGGGAAGAAGGAGGAGAGCGGTCTTCTGCCTGAGATTGAGTTGCTTCCACAAGGTATTGAAGCTCAAAAGGAACATTTTCTGAACTAATTTTTTCTCCTGTGGCTCTTTTTTGATTGTGTAGCATTTTAATCTGAGTTTTTCGTTGACAGACAAACAAGGTGACGTGGCACTCCAGCTGCTGCCAAAACTCCTCCCTGCTGTTCCCTACAGAGTTGGGCGAAAGGTGGTCAGACCCAGCAACCTTGAAGTCCAGCAAGCCTTCATTGATGTCCAGCCAGTAAGTCTATCTTCATGTCAGAACGAGTTCTTTGCTGTTTAAATGTAGTTGAAACCAGAAGTTTAAAACAAATATGCTTTTTTTTCCCTCACTGTTCTCCCTGTCATTAATCTTGAATTTACCATGTCCTAATTGACGTGAAATGAGAATTTTAATGTCATATAACACAAGACAGCGTTGACCAAAAATATGTCTTTTTATATAGTATATATAAACTTCAAACGCAAGGGTCTTTTGATAATGTATCAAACAAAAATCATATAAGAATTAGTCAAAAATTATTAGTTCCTCCTTACCTTTTAAATGACTAATGGCTTCCTTTCTGCTTTTTCCACACACCAGATTGGGACAAATATGGTGGAATATCTTGGAAGTACGGCAACAGAGCATCCACGTGTTCTCATGCTTGGGGACAGGTATTGTTGTTCCCAAGCATTTGTCGTCATAAATGGAACTGCTTTGGAATATCCATCTCTTTTGGGGGCTGTTGACGGCTGTTTCAAATCGTTCTTCGTTTTTGATCTGAGTTATCCGAAGTCGTGTGTCCAAATTTGGGATTTTCTCCAAACTGTGATATATGAAATCCCAGGAAACGAGTCACCCCCGATAAAATTAATGAGGGCCCAGTTGGAGGCCATGGAAGAATAAAAGCAATTCTTCAATAACCCTTAAATAAGTTTTAAATGTTCTGATTGAAAACCTGCTGGATGTTTTGTTACTTTGTTGCTATTTTTTTTCACATTTCCTTCAAACTCTTTTGATGAAAATATTTATTTGTGTACACCAACAAAGTTAAAAAAGGTTGCAGATTTAATCAATTGTTTATATGTAACTTTTACATGTCTGTATTAAAAATTTCATGTATGTTGGAATGTATAACATTTGCAAATAAAAGTTCTTTTGAGCTAATCTGAATGTTTTTAGTTAAATTTTTATAGTGAATTTTAAAATAGAAAAGGAAAAAAAAATGTAAAATAAAAATATGGTGGTAAAATGACCCTTTTAATGGGTAATAAATTTCAACCCAATATTGAGTCATTTTAACTTTGAGCAGTGGTCAATTTAACCCAAGCTTTAGGTTGCAGCTATGACCCAATGTGCTGGGTCAAACCCTCAACCCAACCCAGTTGAGTTAAAACAACCCAGCGTTGGGTCGGTCCATATATGACCCAGCGCTGGGTTACGTATTGGGTTATTTTTAACCCAGCGGTTTTTACTGTGTATATGTGTGTGTATGTGTACCATAAGCTATATTTTCACATAAGCTTCCATACATAGATATGGAAGCTTATTTCCCATCCCATGTGTCATGTGACCATAATCACATGACACAGACCCCCTTGTCATCGGGGGTCTAACGGGCCTTTCATGACCCGACATTTCCCCTGAACAGTGCATAGCTTGTAAACTTAAGAAAAGATAAACCGATCTTAAAGCCCATTAAGTCTCTAATGGGCTTTGTGTTTTCAAGCTTGCAGTCGTCCATCTTCAAACTGATTACATTACATTTTCTTATTAAGTGAGATTTATGTTTCCATAGAAATAATAATCCTGTTGTTGTAATTAATTGCAGAAATGTGTATTCCTAATGCATGTGCAGTGTAGGTAAATCTGGAAATACTTTCCATTTTGGTGAAAAATATTCTACGCAGAATAGATAAATCTCTGCTATTACAGGCCCAACCTTTCCTAGGGGGCAGTAGAGAGCAACGTGTGGACGCTGCAGCGAGCAGAACCGATACGAGTTTGTTTCCAGAGTCCAGTGATCAAATATCATCCTCCTTTACATACATGACTGTAAATAAAGACCCGGACTAAACATGATCTGTTGATCCTGCATATCGATGCTGATCATTTAAGAAAGGATAACCTATCCTATCTTTAAGGTTTTTAGTGTTTTTTTAAGTTTTTACCTGAAAGACAAAGCAAATGGTTAGTGACCAAATGAGCGCAGAGGGTCTACATTCAAAGACTCTGTTCAGGCGGTCAATGACGCCAATCGGTGACGTTGATTCTGGGTTGGAGTTTTCCATTCAAGGAAAACGTGACCAGTGAACAGCTGAGCCAATCAGGAGCAGGCGACCCCACTGCTCATTAACTATAGCATTTGAATACTTAGTTGGTTCCTTTTTAGTCTTGAAGTTGAATTATTTTCAAAGTGACTCATCTCAGTTAAAATAAGTCCTTCACAGCGTCTTCATTACATAAATATGTATTTTATATGTGACCTTATGTGTGGAGAACCTTAAATTCTCCTTTTACCAAAATGGAAAGTATTCCACATTTTATTCATTTATTTTTATTGAACAATTTGTTATGATGTTATTGTCTTAAAATGATGTGTGTGTCTTTAGCCTGTAAGATTTTATTACTTAAGTGCATGACACGTGATCTTGTAAAATTGTTCAGTGTTTAATAATTAAAAAGAAAAAAAAGCAACTAAGTATTCAAACACTGTAGTTAATGAGCAGTAGGCGGTCAGCTGCTTCTGATTGGCTCAGCTGGTCGCTGGTGACGTCATCCTTAAATGGGATACTCATTCAAGGATCTTTCAATGTTAATGACGTCAGTGGGTGACGTCATTTACGTCACCCATTGACGTCATCGGCCGCCTGAACAGAGTCTTTGAATATAGGCCCTCTGCGCTCAATAACTTTTCCTCTCCATTGATTGGACCAGAAGCTCTCATCAGCCTCATCAGTGAGTTTCTTGTAAAAACTATGCAGTTCGCTTTAGCATTTTTACAAAAAACATAAATATTGCCTTTCTTTTAATACCATCTCTCCAACCCTAACATTTAAAGGGAAGATTCAGAAAAAATGAAGAGAAGGAAACTGAACCTCTGGCGTTCAGGAAAAGGTCAGAATGAAGCACCGACTCTCTTAAACTGAATCCAGAACAACTGACCTCCAACCAAATAACGAGATTATTAACATTGCCATTTGAGACAGCCTTATTTATTAATTCGGCCGATGTTTCTATATGTTAGAAAACAAAAGACGACTCGCGACGTCCACTGCGTTGTCAGTAGACGAGGCCCAGTGCTTTGCGATCTCATTGAGATGTCTGTGATTTTCTTTGCGGGCATCTTCGTTATTCTTTTCCTTGAAGCCCTGAATTTTTCAATTCCAGCGCCGTGTCGGTGATATATGATATAGAAATATAAAAACAAAATAGATTTCTAAGTCTTATAGTATTTTTATAGTATTTAAATGTAAATTAGCTACCTACATTGCTAGTTCATATAATATATAGTTACAATACATAAAATACATACTTTTACTGCCAAAGTTTTAATTTATAGGTTTTATTTTGTATTATTTATACTTTTTGTTAAGACTCTTATTTTGGAGGTTTAAGGTAGGAAGTAGATGTAGAAGCGTCTGGTTACCAGGTTACCAGAGACGCTTGCGATATAACAGCATCGCGTTGGCAAGCAAAATGAAGAAGCATGATTTAAGTGTAAGAATTTACTGAATGACCTCATTTCTACCTCAAAAGGAAGGGTTAGCCAGCGAGGTATGTTTATATGTTTTATGTTATTTTTATATCGATATTGTATTCTTGACACCATCTCACTAAGTTTACGTTGTGTTTTAGTTCGACGGTGGTGTTGGTGTCAGGGAAACTGAAGCTGTAATAAGAACAACTTTAAAGAGTTTCGTTAAAGCTGACTTCACACCAGCAGTGCGACGAACTCTTAATTGCCAAAAAGAAGAAGAGGTGGAAGTGATACATACTTATATATAAGTTATTAATGACTTATTTTAACTGAGATGAGTCACTTTGAAATATTTCAACTTCAAGACTAAAAAGGAACCAACTAAGTATTCAAATGCGGGGCGCGACAGAGAGTTTTGTAACACTCACGATGTGTTAAAAGTTAAAACAACAATAATAGGACCAGGGCTAGGTTCGGCTGCTGGAGTGGAAATTGAGCAAATATATAAATGACCACAGACAAGGGAAAGTAAGTTTAACTGCCGGCTTATTATTAGTTGGAAAAAAAAAAAAAAAAGAACAATAGACAATATAAATACAGACAATTGACAAACAATGACATAAAATCAATTCAAAATAATTTCCTGTTCTTCCGGATTAATCCCTATTTGAACTTTTAAACCTAATGTTACGTTTTAAGGATGCTGTTTATTTAACCTAAATTGTAGTTCTAATTTAGTTCTAGCTAAGAAGGTTAATCTAATTAATTTTATTCTTTTAAAATCTATTTTAGGTGTTTAGTTTTATGTTAAGAGATTATGATATATAAATATATTTTTAATCTCCTATTTTAAACTAACTCTGGTTTTTTTTTTCCCAACAAAAAAATGTACAATCCACACCAATAATGTGCGTGAATACAATTCAAAAAGAAAAAAAATAAAACACAATAATAATAATCCAGTAAATTACTGAACAATTTGTGCTCCAATCAGTCTTTCCTTGTGGTGATTTTGAAGGGTTGATTCTGGTTCTCTAGATCCGCTTTTTGGGTTCCTGGGTGAACGGCTCGCCATCGCAGTCCAATTCGGCAATTTGGCTCGGAAATTTCCGGTCCGGCTTGAGTAGAACTTCATAAAAAGGCCTGGTTTAATAACCACAAGCACAAAAGTCCCTTTTAACTTTTCTCTGTGCCGCGCAAAGCAACACACTCGGCTCATTTGTTACATTAACGGCTTCCAACGTATACTTTGATCTCCCTTAGCTTGGCACGACTCTTCACTCCCTCGCTCTCGCTCTCTCTCTCGTCTCTGTCTCTCTCTCGGTCTGTCTCTCTCTCTCTCGGTCTGTCTCTCTCTCTCTCGGTCTCTCTCTCTCTCTCGGTCTGTCTCTCTCTCTCGGTCTGTCTCTCTCTCTCTCAGTCTGTCTCTCTCTCTCTTGATCTGTCTCTCTCTCTCGGTCTGTCTCTCTCTCTCTCTCGGTCTGTCTCTCTCTCTCTCGATCTGTCTCTCTCTCTCTCGGTCTGTCTCTCTCTCTCTCGGTCTGTCTCTCTCTCTCTCGGTCTGTCTCTCTCTCTCTCTCTCGGTCTGTCTCGCTCCCTTCCCCTAGCGCAGGGATGGGGCTAGTCACCTTGACTACACAGCCATGTGACCCTTCAGAATAAGATACTTTTTTCTTACACTTGACCGTTCTAACTGCTGACAAAATAAATAAACTTCACACAGTTTCAAATAAAACAAAATAAAATACATGAATATAAATCACACTGTCTGTAACTTTTATTTTATTATTTTATTATTATTTATTTGAAAACTATTTTGCCCTATTTATTCTTTCCTATTTACGCATTTTATAATTATTTATTATGAAATAGTAATTAGTTAATTCGAATGAAGGCTATTTTAACCTGGGTTACACCTGCTTTCCGGGTGAGCGACGCTGACACGCGAGTGGACGACATCAAGAGGAAAGGTCTGATGGTGGACGCTGGTGCGACGTCGCATATAATCACCGACATCGGGAAGTTTCGGAAGCTTGATGAAAGTTTCCAGGCCGAGACGCACTGTGTGGAATTGGCTGATGGATCCAGGTGTTTTGGTCAAGAAACGAGGAGACGCGTTAGGTCGACGTCTTAAAACAGTGCTGAGGAACAAATTGTACATCCCTTCATATCCGCAAGACATCTTCTCAGTGAAAGCTGCAACATC